AAAGCTTTCTCACTTAATGAAAAGCTATTTGACAGAATCACTCGCAAGGGTTTCTTATGATGGCAGATGTTTCGATGCTTTAGGATGTGATTTAGTGAACCCCAAATTTTATTTATACACATACACACACACACTCACTGTCCAAACGCAAATAAAAAGAAAATGCTGGCTTTTGTCATGTGAGGCAGCTGGAGTGCAGGAAAGATGAAGAAAAATCACCAGTGAGCATGGCTCACCGACTTAAAGATTTATTGCATATCAGAACCGCATCACAGTCTCCTACGCTCGTCTTCCCAGATCAGAGTTTTAGTTCTTGTAATTCATTCTCAGAGTTGCGTGGTTAGCGCCCGGCAGCCAGCTCCCCGTGAACTTGTAGCACAGGTGCTCCTTCCTCAGATCCTTTTCACCAAGCTTTCTTATGCTGTCGTTTTGGGCATTTGGCCCCATTATTCTCTTCTGCATCCCTGGATTTTTACCGCTTCCTGGGCTCTGGTGTTGCATGGCTGCCTGGCGCACAGATAGGATTTACCTTTGACCGCCATACCCCTAAGCTGGATTTTCTGTCTCCAGCCACTTCCACGGGTACTTGCCAAGCTAACTATGGCTCCTTTGTAATTAAAACCCTCTGGTGGTGTTAGCTTCAAGAATGTCTTTGTTAAGCATGTTAAAAGTGGTTATGCATTGGCACAAGCCATTTTTTTTTAGCCCTGGTCTGGACACTTCTGTTCCTTGAATACAGCACCCACCTCAGTGTGACTGTGTCAGGGCACCTCAGTTTTCAGTTCAGTCAACATTTAGTGGGTGTCTCCAATGTGCCAAGCGCTGAGCTGTGGACGGAAAGGTGAATCAGAGGTGGCCTTGGGGCTCTTGGGAAACATGTCCTTTTATCCTAAGTGATGCTAGGTGATATGACAGGCTCACCCAGACAGGGTGCTGGGGATGGACAGCCTGGGGGAATTGGGAAGACTTCGTGGAGACTTTGACACTTAAGATGATAGCATCTCCAACCCAGTATCCCTTGTGCATTTTTAGAATACCATTTTTAGTATGTCAAGTTAACTTCTTGGCCAAGCCACAGCCCAATTGTTGTGTGTAATAGGGGAAGAAGCAACTGTAATTGTCTTCTCCAGCGATCCTCTTCTGAAGAGGCCTGGAGCCCCCTTGTCTGGTGGTGGGCTGTGGCCCCTAGCACACCCGTGAGTTCTTAACCTTTGCTGTGGATAGTTGCTGGTTTCTCAGTCCTTGATAAAATGTGAATTAAAGGATACACACACACACACACACACACACACACACACACACACACTGAGTGGCCATATTATTATGACCACCTGACGTTTGTAGGCAAATTAGCTATAATTTCGCACTGAAGTTGCTAGAGGGCCAGATCATTATAAACGTCTGAATAGCACGCCATACCTAAGTATCGTTGCTGATCAAGTTCATCCTATCATGTTGATGGCGTATCCCAATGGAGATGGCTTCTTCCAACAAGACTATGCGCCATGCCACGGTGCTCTTATTGTGCAGGAGTGGTTTTAAGAACATGAGGGAGACTTTACCTTGCTTAGGTGGCCCCCACAATCACCAGATCTCAATCCAATTGAGCATTTGTGGGACGAAGTTAAAAGAGCCATCAAGCAGCTGGTTCCACAACCATCAAATCTCACAGAACTGGACAGTGCTATTCATCAGGCATGGTGTCAGATTCCTTGAATCACCTTTCAACATGGAGTCAATGCCAAGAAGAATCACCGCAGTATTGAAGGCAAAAGGTGGCACAACGAAGTACTGATGGAGTGGTCATAATAATCTGGCCACTCAGTGTGTGTGTGTGTGTGTATATATATATTATTCCTCACCCTAGGATAATTTTCCATTGATTTTTACGATGAGTGGAAGAGAGAGAAAAAGACAGAGAGAAATATCGATGTGAGAGAAATGCATCAATTGGTTGCTCCTGCATGCGCCCTGACCAGGGCCAGGGCTGGGGAGGAGCCTGCAACTGAGGTACGTGTCCTTGGCCGGAATCGAACCTGGGACCCTTCAGTCCGCAGGCCGACGCTCTATCCACTGAGCCAAACAGGCTAGGGCTATAGGATATTTTTTAAACATCCATCTGACATGCAGTACAACGTAGGTTAGCTTCAAAAACCAGCTTCCTAGGAGTCCTGGGCACAGCCTACCAACCAGAGTGCCACTCAGAGCCATTCCTCTTCAGAAAACCTTGTCTTGGAAGGTGCCTCTCTTTCGTTAGCCCAGCCGTCAGGTGTGGTCTGGTCAGCAGGGCAGGACTCCCTCAGCTTGCCCTAGACACTTTCCTCCTACTCATGCAGCTGAAGATCCCATTCGTGTGCTTGGCAGCGGCACCCACTGTTGACTCATATTAGCTCTCTGTTGACTAAATCCCTGGCATCGCTTTTGCTCGTGCGGCTGTTGCTCAGCCCCGTCTCCCCCCTCCCCTGCATGCACAGTCTCCCAGCAGCTCCCTGTGGAAAGCTGTTAGGATGTGTGGTTGGCTGGTTAGCACTCCCACTATGCCTTGGAGGGCACGGCTTTGTTGGCCAGTATTGCATTTGGCGCGATTGCTTTCATTGTCTCTGGAGCTCTACGTTGACTCATTGTGGTGCAGTGCAAACATGGAGAGTTTCAGGGTTAGCAGAGCCATGGTTGAGTCTTGCAGGCTGCCTGGGCAGCCTCGGGCAACTTAAGCTCTCTGAGCCTTGATTTTCTGGTCTTTAAAATGGGGATGTTGGGCGGATGATATGACAAGAAGGATACAAACAACCTCGGTAAATGGCAGGGTGCTGAAGGGTTGCTGGTAGGTTGTAATCTTATGTCTCGTGCCTTCTCTTTGGCCCATGGGAAGGGTTTGGAAATGTTTCTAGTAATGAACATTAAAGAAAAAAGAAACTGTGCCGGGAAGCTTAAACATCGCTTGGTTCTCCTTCAGTGGATATTGGAAGTTGGATGTAGTAGGAGAGACGGTTTTAAAATTTTCACTTTGGATGAAAAAAGAATCCCTTCCCCCGTCCTCCAACAGAAAAATGCAGGTTCTTAGTATTTGAAGACTGGAACTTCTGATCTAACAACGCCTACATGATACAACGTGAAGATCAGATGTCTATTTTGGAATTGAAAGGACCCTAGGTGCACACATCCCACCCATTATGTAGAGGGGAAACTGAGGCCTGTGAATATAAAGTGACTTACCTTTAGTTACTCAGTGAAGAGTTGGAATGGGCTACTTTGGGAACCCCAATTATCTCGTGTAGGATCAGTGGCGGGAAGGCAGTCTGACCCCTAGTCCTAATACAGGATCATGGCAGGGAGGGGGGTAGTTCCTGGCAGTTTCAAGTAGGACACGTTCCCCAAACAGTGGGAAACTCCAGCACTTCTCTAACGTCAGTGTACTCGAAGTTCATTTGGGGTTTTTTCCCTCTGGTTTACAATTCGCAGAATTTCTGATTCTGTAGTTCAGAAAGCTGGACTTTTAACAAGTATCCCGGGTGATTCTGATGAAGGTGGTCCCTTCACACCCTTTGAAAAACACTGGCTCTAGAACTGTGAGAACAGAGGGCAGCCCCATTATTCGTTAAAAACTGCTGCAGGCATTGGGCATGGGGATTGGCCATCATTGAGCTGGAGGTTGCCAGTATCACACCTGAGCTCTGGGGAGCCCCTTTTGGCCACTGCGGAGTGGAGACTGGGCTGGAGGAGGGACTGACTTACGCTGTTGCCACAGCCCAGGTGCGTGGTGATGAGGGAGGGCCTGGCCAGGACAAGGGGCAGAGTGCCAGAGCAGTTTGCAGGTGGAGTTAATTGAGTGTATGCGGGAAGGGGAGGGAGGAGGCCTGCCGGAGTCTAGCTTGGAGGGCAAGGGTAGCTTCATCTCAGTTGTGGGGAGAAATGGGGCACCGTATAAGACACCCCAGGAAATAGGAGAAGACAGCTCCTCATTCCGCCCTCCAAGGTTCTGGCTACTCTGGGCACCTTGTTTTATCCAGGTTTCTGGGTGGCTTGCTGTTTCCTGTCCTTGTGGGCAAAGGTGTTGGCTCAAGGTGGCCCAACAGTACTTACTCCACCTGCACCTGCACCTGCACGCTCCCCACCCCCCCCACTCCCCCCCCCCCCCCCCCCCCCGCCCAGACCATGAATGAGACCATGGGGAGGGAGCTTTGGATACCTATATGGGTCATGAGTTTGTGTACTTTTAAAAATACCTTGTATTAGAAGGAGGGTTGGGGGGGGGGTGGCGGTGGATGGTGAGCATCCTTCCCAAATGAGATATAGGTACAATATCTAACTCTGGTTCCGCACTTCTGGATAGTCAGTGTTAATATGCGGTGGGGGCAGGGGAGGGAGGTCTATGCAACCTCCCAGTGCCAGGAACATGAGCCTACACCGGTCCAGAACTGAACAAATAGTAAGTTGCTAAGCACTTTCACGTGCATAATCTCATAATCCCTCTGAATTCTACCTCTAGCACACCGCTGTGGGTGCAGGCACGGGTCTGTTTAATTTTGAAATAGCAACAGGCGGGGACAAGTAGAACTTCCCCTTAAATTCTTGCACAGGGACTTAGAAGAAAATTCACTGCATAACCACAGAAATCCTCCACCCACAATGTGTCCTCTCCAGGCCTGGCTCCCCGCCTGCCTCCTCCACGCTGCCTGGATGGAGTGTTCTCTGCGCAGGCACCTGGTCCGTCTGCACTCCGGTTTCCTCCTCGGGCCCTGGCAGCTGCCTGCGGGCAGGGTCAGCTGCTGACCCCTCCTTGTGTTTTTTTTCAGGTTGGCGTGCACTTTCCTCCCTCACTTTCATTTCACACTAGAACATGTTTCAAGCAGAAGGATTAGGAAATGTAGAGAAGCAAGAGAAGTTAAAACATCTAAAATCGCATCAGAGATAACCACTGTTAAAATTGTGGTGTGTATCATCCATCTGTACCTTTTCTTTCTGCTGTTAGATATAAATATGCATTTCAAATGGTGAGTGTATATGGGTTGATGAACATCCCTTTCCCCCCTTTAGCACAATTGAATAGGAACCATATGTAGACCCTGTGTCCCTTTGCCCTCTCACTCCTTTACATTCCCTAGGAGCCTTAGCTGGGACTGGGCATCCTCAGTGGCCATCTTAGCTGTGTGCCCTGCTGCCCTGCTGGGTGAGACCCAAGCCCTCCTTCCTTGGAGCCCCTCCCCGCAATCACCTCTGCTTTCTGGCAGGATAAAGGTCCTGTTGATGTGGCCACAAAGTCGCCTTGCATCTGAGGGCTTGTGTTCTGAACGTAGGATTTGGGTGGTCACCACTGCACTGTGCTCTCATGTGGGGCTGTTGGGGAAACAGCAGGGGCAAATGCATGGAGCATGGGAGCCAGAAAACCCCCTTCCCAAGGCCCCGGCTCCTTGGGTGGGCTTGGGGGGGGGCATAATGAGCCCTGGCTGTGACCCTGAGTTTAAAGATGTGAATGAGGAGACTTTGAAGAACAGGAGGGTCTCTAGTATTCAGTAAGGGCCACGGCTTCTTGAACAAGGAAGCTACCAAAGTACTGGGCTAAGTGTTTAAATGATTGTCATGTTGAATCATCTCACAACCTCTCTTGGTGGTTACTATAGTTACCCTCATTTGTAGAGAGGAGAATCGGGTTTAGCAGACAGGTTAAGAAACTTGTCCAGGTCACACGCTGGCTAGTAAAGGTACTCTGGCCTCAAGCCTCACAGTCTGGCTGGAGATCTGTGGCCTGGGAAGATCCTCCTGCTGTCAGAGGGGGGTGGGGCTGAGCCTGCCCCTTGACCCCCCCAAAGTGGACCCAAGGTCTCCAGCCTGAGAATGTAGGTTCGCCCAGAGTACATTCTGGTCTGATGGCCATAATTCTTCAACACTGAGGTCAGAAGGGGGCTATGTTTTTCAGAGTGCTTAATAGAACCACGTTAAAATCACCCCAATGAGAAGCATTTGATAGATTCCCATTTTGCTGCGTAGTAACTGGTTGGTTTCACTTTGTTCCCTCAATCTTTGTGCTTTTGTGTACATGTGTAAGCACGGTATATGTTCTTTTATTCCCCCTCTCATTCCAGCCTTTCTGACACACTTCTCGCCAGTTTGTTGCCCTCTTTTGTGCTTATTCTGATTTATTTAGATTCACCCCTGAGTCTGTGTGTTTGTGTGTGTGTGTGAGTGAGGCATGACTAATATTTATCTCTGCTTATCTCTTGGGGCCAATAGCAAAGCACCTGGTATCTTTCTTGTTGCCAGTTGTACCTCCAAGGCCGGCAGAATCTGTGTTACTTCCCTTAATTGCCACCGTCTGGGAAGGTATTATTATCCTCTGTATGCATGGTCTCACAGGTGGCCTTGGGCCACTCAGCTCGTTAGATTCCCTGACTCATCTTCCAGTGCTCTTTCCCCCACCCCATGCAGCGCACACCCAACCTTCCTGTTTGCCCTGTGTGCTCCTTGGAACTCCCTAGGAAGGTCAGGATCCTTTATGATTCTGCAGGTCCCAGTTTCATATAATACCCCTTCCCCTTCCCATCTTTCCTGAAGTCCTCTGCCTCTCAGCCTCTTGGCATTTGGGTTCTGCCTACCGTTTCTCAGCATTTTTATTTTTGCCGGTTCTTTTCCCCAAAGTCATAGCTGGCTGAGTGCCCAGCCTTTCCTTTTTGAAATTAAGAACTGGAAAGTGATATCCCAAGGGTCCTGGGCTCCCCGTGGGATCATCCAGAGCTTCCATGTTTCCCAGCACTGAGCTCGGGCCCAGGGTCCCCGGGTCCCAGGGGTGGGATTGTCCATGCCACAGGCCTGGAGGGTGAGGACGACCTGGTTCCGCAGGTGCCTGCAGAGTCAGCATCTCTCAGCTCTGTGGGTCTCCAGCCTACCTGGCCCGGGATCTGAATGTTGTCTGTATCTACCTTACGGGTGCTTAGGCAGGCGAGGTAGGCCTGACAGGGTCTCTCCTTTATCCCACCTGCTGTCTTGTTCAGCTGCACCTGTCTTGAATTATGGATCTTTTTTATTTATTATTATTGATTTCAGAGATAGGAAGGGAGAGGAGAGGGAGAGAGAAACATCAAGGATGAGAGAGAACCACTGATCAGCTGCCTCCTGCACGCCCCACACTGGGGTTGGAGCCTGCAACCCGGATATGTGCCCTGACCAGGAATCAAACCGTGACCTCCTGGTTCATGGGTTGATACGAATTATGGATTTTTAAAAATTATGGTAAAATGTAACAGAATTTACCATTTTAATGTGTACAGTTCAGTGGCATGAAGGATATTTGTATTGTTGGGCAGCCATCACCACTGTCCATCTCCAGAACTTTTTCATCTTCCCAAACTGAAACTCTGTGCCCATTGAACACTAACTCCCCTTCGCTCCCTCCCCCCAGCACCTGGCAACCAC